GACGATTGCCACACAGGTGAAGAAGAGACTTACTGTAACAGAATCAAAGAAAAGAATACTGAACTGTTATGTAATATCATGTCCTCCAATATGGTAGCCAATGCTGGATAAACTCTTCACACATGAAGAAGAGACTTGAAGCTACAAAATCAAAGACAATATTACTAAACTGTTACGTAATATCAGTCCTCCTATGTGGCGGGGTTGTCTGGACAATCTCGTTACTATTGAAGAGTCTTGAAGCAACAGAAACAAAAAGAAGAGTACTGAACAGAGAATGCTGCACAATCTACTCAAAGAGGAAGAAGAGACATGAAGCAACAGAAATGTGGTTCTACAGAAGGATGCGGAGAATACCATGGAAGGCATATGTGTGCAATGCCGAAGTTTTAGAAAAACCGGGAATGAAAAGACACTTTTAGGAAGAGACAGTTAAATTTTCTAGAGCACATGATCAGGAAAACGTCTTAGATAATTCAATACTCATGAGACATTGAAGTCATGAGGGACAAAGAAATAACAAACCAAAAACAATGTATATCCTACCTATCGAGCTTAAGTATGTTCATGGTGAGACAAGGTTTAAAAGAAACAACAAAAAGACAAAATATATTAAGAGCTACAAAAGATGCGATCACCAACGACCTGAATGGAGACGACACGTAAAAGAGAACAAATCGGTGAAAAGAAATATCGTTCCACACTTGTACACTTCCACGTCAAACACATATATATTAACGTTATAAAGGGTGTTCCAATAATTTGGACCGATTTTAATGTGAATTAAGTTTAAGCGTCTAATGATGTTTTCCTTTTTCTTTGTGATTTGGCGGAATCTAGGCGATGTTATTTTTCACACATAATTGCCATGACATAAATAACATGATCCAATAGAGAAATAAATAAATTTTCACTAATAACACCGATTTATTTACTGCTGACTTTGATCCATCTTAATGAAACACCCTTATATATAATCTGTCTTAATGAAACACCCTTTACGTTATATATTTTAACATTATATATTATATATATTAAATATATATGTTATATATATATATATATATATATATATATATATATATATCAAAGTTATATGCTATATATATTAATATGTTTTATATGTATATATATATATATTAACGTTATGTTTTATAAATTAACGCTATATGTTTTTAAACATATTAACGTTATACGTTATATATATATATATATATATATACATTAACGTTATATATTATATATATTAACGTTATACTTTATATACATATATATATATATATGAACGTTATATTTCATATACATATTAACATTATATGTTATATATATATAACGTTAAATGTCCTATTTATAATTATATTTTACATATATATGAAACTTATATGTTAAATATATTAACGTTAAATATTATATATGTATTAACGTTGTTATATACATTAACGTTATATATTTTATATATTAATGTTATACGATATATATATATATATATAAAACGTTATATTTTATATATATTAACGTTATAATATTATAAATATTAACTTTAGATGTTATATATATATGTTAACGTTAAATATGAAAACAACTTCAAGATTGATGTATAGATTTTATATTTAAGCGTTTATTATTTGCTTCTTTATTTGAACATTTTCGAAATACTGCTACAACCTTTAAGAAAGATTGTTACTTTGACAATTCAGCTACGTCAAACGATACATTCAATCTATATAAATAAATTATAAACACTGTCTGTCCGTCCTTGTGTCTGAAATCCCTCAAATTCTGGTAACACTTACTCTGCATTAGACATATGATACTGTTCGGATATGGAGGGTGCATTTAAAACTTCTAATTTTTAAATAACTGAAAAAAAAAATGAGTGATTTTAAAATTTTAATTTATATTGAGATTAAAGTAACACAAAAAATTTGATAATTTAAAAAAAAAAAAAATTAAGTTCAGTTTAAAATAGCACTTAAACTTAATGAATTGAGGAAATCAATTTTTATTTCTTCAAGATGACAAGGAATCAGCGTTAAAGTGAAGAGGTTTTGTTATGTGCGGTTTTGAATTTCCACAGAGTCTGTGATTTGAAGAATCGAAGTTCCACGTAGTTTGGGACGTGAAGAATTCAATTTTCGAGCTGAATTATAATTTCGGCCGAAAACGTTCTCTTAGCCGGAATTAGAATTATAACTCGAATTAGAGTTAAAGTGAGGTTTTGAAATTTCATGGAGTGAAACATAAATTTCTTTACACTAACAACTTCGGAAAAAGCATAACTATTATTGTTATCACTTTACACAATAGCTACGACTTAAGTAGCAGTGAAAATAATAAAGCCACCTGGAAGTGGAACGGCTCCCCGATTAACCATTCCAACCCATGTTCCATTACGCCACAGCACATCCAAGGTTACACCCCACGGTAATCCCAAGCGATCACCCATCTCGGTAATGACCAGGTTCGGCGTAGCTTGACTTTGGGGATCTTGGGAGAACCGATGTTTCAATGTGATATGGCCGTAAATCATGCCATCCGCACCAACAAACTTCCAGCACTTGGTATTCACAAGTGGGTACCCCTCTAGGTAATGACCAAGCTCGACGTTGCTTAACTTTGATGGTCTTTCGAGAACCGGTGTTTCAGTGTGATTTGGCAGTAAGTCATACCACCCACACCCGCACGAACACGCTTCCAGCACTTGGCATTCCCATTAAAATGAGAGGTTTTGTGAGGTGCGGTTTTGAAGTTCCGCGGATTTTGTGATTTGAAGGATCGAAGGTCCCCGTAATCTGTGACGTGAAGAATTCAATTTCCGACCTGAATTGTAATTTCAGCCCCAAACTTTCTCTTGACTGGAATTGGAATCTTACTTATTATAAAACGCAGATTGTGTGTGTTTGTGTGTGTCTGTACGTTTATATATTGGATCAGATTTCCTACATTTTTCAACCGATTTCAACAAAACTTCACAGGACTGCGTAAAATTACCTTGCGGTGGTTCTGACAGCGCCAAAAATGGGAAAAACACAATTGTTTTTGCACGAAATCAATTTGAAAACACGATTAAGTCGCCAGAATGAAAGGGGGACAATTCATATCGAGTTATACTTATTATAAAACCCAGGTTGTTTGTGTGTGTGTGTGTGTGTGTGTTTGTGTGTGTTATTTATATATATGTTTTTTAAACTGAATTTCAACAAAACTTCATCTTTTGCGTTAAAATTCTCAGTTTATATATTGTTTTTGCAAAATCATTTGAAAACACGATTAAAAATAAAAAACCAAGGGGACAATTTATCGAGTTATTCTTATTATAAAACCTAGGTTGTTTTTGTGAGTGTGTTCGTTTATAAATGTCATTCTTCTTCATTTTTCAACCGATTTCAACAAAACTTCACTTTTTATTTTGGCAGGTAGTGTTTCTTTTTTTCTTTTCTTTTATTTTTACATTCAGAATGTTTAAAAATTCCATTTACAAGACAATTGTTTATAATAAAATTCTATTCAATCGGTAGATTTATAACGATTGAAAATAATGTTTTTGTTTGAGTTTGGGTTAGACCAATTCGTAAAAAAAAAAAAATAATTAAGACATGCGTGGCTGTCAACCTTAAACAATAATCTTTGTCAATTTTATTTTTCAGTCTTTATGATGGTCGATATTTGATCTATCTCTTATTGTTACATCCCCATTTTTGCCGGGCTCTACTTTCTTGTCGGTTTTGAAATTTCATGGAGTGAATTGAATTATTTGAAGTTATTCGTTCAAAATGATCATTGCTGTTTTCTAAGCTGGAGGAGACGTCTCTTTAGCTTTGAACCGAAGATCAAATTAGCCATCCGCAGGAGCTAGCTTAACCCTTTGAGACCTGGCCACCGCTTTACCGATGTTAGATGAAAATAACTAAATGCCTAGACACCGGTTAAACGGTGGGTAAACACTTGTAACTATTTTTATATCTAAAGTAAAGCATTACATATCAATTATTTGCGAATTTTGACTCAGGAGCTATGGTAGAAAAGTTAAATTTTTTCTGGAACGCAAAGCTCAAAGGATTAAAATTCCACATGGAATTCAGCTTTTAAGCTAGTTTGAATTATTCTGAGGGAACTTTGCGGATTTCAAGATGCATTTTTATTTCTGAATATCTCCAAAACTAATCTTGTACTATAAATCAGAAGAGGATTGCTCGAGTTATGAGTTTGCGGTTAGCTTCCCTATTAAATCCAATTCTGAGTTCTTGAAAGTAAAACAAGATTTTAAAAAATTAAATTAACAACGTCTTGCGAAAAACTATGCATTTGGAATACGGAGGTATTTGAAGGGAAATGAAATTCCTGCTATAATAACAACTGCCTAAGTAACACCTTTCTTCTTTTCTTCTTTCTTAAACTAACGGTCACAGAGCAGCATCATTTACGGTAGATACTTTAAGTATAATACCAAGGTATACTCCGCTTTCGTTAACAGGTTGAAATAACACTTTCCATGCGATCACCGAAGGTAAACAACGTTGAGCTTAGTCAATACCTAGATGGGTGACAGCTTGGGAATACAAGATGTTGTAAGCTTGTTGCTACGGTTGGTGTGACTTACGATCATATCACAGGGAAACGCCAGTTCTCGTAAAATCACCTAAGCAACGTCGAGCCTGGTCAGTACCTATATGGGTGACTGCTTGAAAATACCAGGTGCTGGAAGCATGTTGGGGGGGATGGTATGACATACGGCCATATCACAAAGAAACGCCAGTTCTCGTAAGATCAACTAAGCAACGTCGAGCCTGGTCAGTAACTATATGGGTAACTGCTTGAAAATACCAGGTGCTGTAAGCTTGTTGGGTGGGGGGATGGTATGACATACGGCCATATCACAAGGAAACGCCAGTTCTCGTAAGATCAACTAAGCAACGTCGAGCCTGGTCAGTACCTATATGGGTGACTGCTTGAAAATACCAGGTGCTGGAAGCTTTTTGGTGGGGGTGGTATGAAATATTGCCATATCACATTGAAACACCGGCTCTCGTAAGAACAGCTAAGTTAAGCAACGTCGAGCTTGGTCAATACCTAGATGAGTGACCGCTTGAGAATACCAGATGCAGGAAACTTTTTGGTGCGGGTGGTATGACTTACGGCCATATCACATTGTAACACCGGTTCTCGTAAGATCACAAAAGTTAAGCAACGTTGAGCCTGGTCATTACCTAGATGGGTGACTGCTTGAAAATACCTGGTGCTGGAAACTTGTTGGTGGGGGTGATATGACTTACGGTCATATCACATTGAAACACCGGCTCTCGTAAACGGGAATAACGGTGGTGTACACTTCGATGTGCTGTGGCATAATGGAACATGGCTCGGAATGGTTAATCGGGGAGCCGTTCCACTTCCACGATTGCGTCTAGCATGAAACAGACTGTCGCCTCTAAGTGTTGAATTCTATGTTCACTTTTATATTTACACACGCTCTATCTCTGATATTGACCACTTTATCCCATAAATATAGCGCATCTTAAGACTATATATATATATATATATATATATATATATATATATATATATTCTTTTTCGTTTAACTCCATTCAGATCCGAACACACATATTAGTCTTCTCTTATTTCCTATATCACTACAGGATGTAGCAATTATTCACAACTTGAAGGCACGTGGGACAGTAGGGATCAGTGTCTCACCTGCCTGACACACTTTTCTGAAAGGTTGTCAGAACAGGGATTAGGAGATATTGGAAAAATACAAACTTTACTAACGTCTACAAAGGACAGGACGTTCTGGAAAGACATGATTGACCACGAATTGAATGGACACGTCATATATAAGAATCAGAAGAAGAAGAAGAAGAAGAAGAAGAAGGAAGACGAGCTTATGTATATTGTTGACGAAATTTACTAAGGGCTACAAAGTAGAGGAAAACAGTTGTGGAGAGCCATGATCGCATACATCCTAAAGAGACACGACATATAGAAGATGAAGAAGAAGAAAAGAAGAAGAGCTTCTGTAAATGCGTGACAGAACAGGGATAAAGAAAGATAACAAAAGACCAAATTTACTAAGGGCAACAAAGAGCAGGAAGTTGTGGAGAGCCATGATCGCATACGTCCTGATGAGACACGCTACAAAGAAAAATAAGAAGAGATTCTGTAAATGCTTGGCAGAACAGGGATAAGGAAAGATAACAAAAGACCAAATTTACTAAGGGCAACAAAGAGGAGGAAGTTGTGGAGAGCCATGATAGCATACGTCCTGATGAGACACGCTACAAAGAAGAATAAGAAGAGATTCTGTAAATGCTTGGCAGAACAGGGATAAGGAAAAATAGCAAAAGACCAAATTTACTAAGGGCAACAAAGAGCAGGAAGATGTGGAGAGCCATGATCACATACGTCTTGAAGAGACACTCTACAAAGAAGAAGAAGAAGAGCTTCTGTAAACGCTTGGTGGAACAAAGATAAGGAAAGAAATCAAAAGACCAAATTTACTGAAGGCAACAAATAACAGGAAGTTGTGGAGAGCCATCACCTAGTACGCTCCGAGACACGCTACAAAGAAGAAGAAAAAGAAGAAGATCTTCTGCAAATGCTTGGCAGAACAGGGATAAGGAAAATAGCAGAAGACCAAATTTACTGAAGGCAACAAATAACAGGAAGTTGTGGAGAGACATCACCGCTCCGAATAGACACGCTACAAAGAAGTAGCAGCAGACGGAGTTCTATATATATAGTTGGCAGAACAGAAATTAGGAGAGATGGCAAAACAGAGATTAGGAGAGATCGCAAAAAGACCATATTTACTAAGACCTTGAAAGGAGAGTAAGATGTGGTGAGCCATGATCACCCAAGTCCTGAAGGTGCATAGTACACAGAAAAAGAAGAGTAATGCTTTTTAGCATCCAGTGATCGATCGACAGATTGCGTAGCCGTATCTTATAGTTTATGTATGTATGGCAATGTTTGAATAAGTATGTTTCTTATAATTTCCTTGGCGTATGCTTTTGTTTACTTATATCCGACTCTGAATAAATACTATTTATATGCCTACGAACTTACTTTCTCATCGCTAATAACGACAGTCTTATAAATAAACCTTATCAACACTATATCAACGCGATGTTGTTTTGTTTAGTTATTTTTTTCTGGTATATGTTTCTGATGTTTACGTATTTTTACACATCAACCGACTAAGCATTCTTTTTCGCATATCTTCGGGAGATTCTGGTGAATCTACCAATTGTCTTGCAAAAACACACCGCCTTTATTTATTTAATTTTCTTGTCTCGCTTTTTTCCCCCCTAACGTGAGTATCGATTTTTGTATGTTTGTCTGGAATAAGGTGAACAGAGGCGGAAGAATTTCTAAAATTCAAAAACGCATGGCATGATGCAAATAATATTACTTACAGAAAGTACATATTTTTGAAAATGCGTAGTTATATTGTAATATATATATATATATAAATACATATATATATATAATATATATATATATATATATATATAATATATATATATATATATATATATATATATATATATATATATAATATATAATATATATATATATATAATATATAATACATATATATATAATATATATATATATATATATATAATATATATATATATATATATATATATATATATATATATATATATATATATATATACATGTGTGTGTGTGTGTATATAATATATATATAATAAAAAGTATTAAACAGTTTATGCCTTTTATTTTATCCCCTACTCTGTCCTGGACATTGAGTTCTACCTCTATTCTATCCTCTTTAATTTTTTATTAAAAAATATATGTATCTGTATGCATGTATGTATATATTTTATATATTTTGCATATGTATGTATAGTTACCACTAATATTATCTATCTATCTATTTATCTATATATATATATATATATATATATATATATATATATATAGGTAGTAATCCGTTGGTATAATACAGGCGAGTCGTATTAACAGAACATAGAATTTGAAATATAAATGAATCTATATTTTCATTATTTTTCTTTATTTTTTTAAACACCATTTTTCAAATTTTCTGAATTAAGATATTTATATAATGACCCTTTTACGGCCAGATAGTTAAATATCGTGACGATCGCTAAAATAATATTAACGTCCCACAGACGGGATCAACAGGGTCGTTGCATTAATCAATTTTAAAAATATGTTTGATTCGAAGGAATCTGAATAACTCTATTCTAAAATTAAAATTCTACCAATTGTTAAAAATGGTCATTCACTAAAGAGAAATTTTTTAAATAAAAAGGCTTTTAATATATATATTTAGAATTATGTATAAATTTGATTAAAAAAAAGTTTGGTTAAATAATTTTGTATTTATTTTTTTCTTTAATATTCATGTCCATACATTAATTTCTTCGTAATTATAAAAATTGATCACACTATATATATATAATTCTCTTATATATATATTTAATAATTTATAAATCTATACACCAATATAGTGTATAAATTACAAAAACCTTATTGTTTTTAGTCGAAATCAATTTTTCTATATGGGACACCATAAAACTAAATCCATAAATAGTCATAAAAAAAAATTTAAACTCAAAATTTAAAGAACATTTTAGAAAGATATTTTTCTTGAACATAATTGTTTTAAAAAAAACAATTTTAAAAGCATTTTCTTATTAAATATTATTTGCCAGAATTTTTCGATATTCAAAAGACATTTATGTTAAAAAAAAAAAAAAAAAAAACAGATCCAGTCATGCATAAAATAAAAAATGCGTAAATCTTTTGCTTTTTTAACTCTCCGTCAATCATATCACATATACTAATTCTGTTGAAATATTCAAAACTTTATATATGCAAATTTCTTTCTTCACTCTTTATATTATATATATATATATATATTCATTGAAAAATTAATTCCATATTTTATGGACATAAAAAAATATATAATTAAACAATTGTCCATCAAACATATATATATATATAATCATATCTTATCTCTATAAATATATATATATATATATATATATATATATATATATATATATATATATATATATATGTATATTTAAAATATATATAAATATATATATAATATTTGTAATAATTTATTTTTTGTTGATACCTTTTCAAATTATAGTCAAATATATACGATTTAAAACAATAACATATATATGTTGTCAAATCATCTTTTTGATATTGAGATTTCTTCAAATTTTAAAAATTTAAATATATATATATTTAAAATATATATATTCTTATATATATAAATATATATATATATTATAATCTTATAAATATATATATATATATATATATAATATATATATATATATATATATATATATATATACTTTATAAATATAATCTAAATATTTGATTGAAAACTATGAATAATGTAATTTTTCATTATAATTTGATTTCAGAATCCTAAAAATACTCTTCAAAAATAAAAATAACTAATTCTGCTCAATACGCTTAATTCTAACGACGACATCAGGTTCACCTCCCATTTTGATTGCCTGGCTCATTAGGTTCATATTATTATATATATATATATATATATATATATATATATATATATATATATATATATATATTTAAGAGAACATATTTTTGTAGATTAATTTTATTGATCGTCTTTTCCAAATTAAGAATAAACCTTCTCACTCCAGGAGGAAATTCCGTCATAAATTTTCCGAAGTACATTTCGGAAGAAATTTAACAAAATTTTTGCAATTGTAAATCATACTCTTAAGTCTCAAAAATGTCACTAGTTCTACGCAATTCACCATTTGTCTATACCTACCCTGATGATGACTTAAGAAAATCGAAAACAAAAATGTGGGTCTAAAGAAGGATGCTGAGAATCACATGAACTGGGCAACGAGGAAGTTTAATATGAAAATAAAAAAAAAACAGCTTAGAATTTCCTAAGATTTTCTATGGCGTATAATAAAGAAAGAGGTCTTTGACATTCACAGGACATATTGAAGGGAAGAAGAAGAAAAAGAAATAAAAGATACATAGCGATGTTGCGTAAATGGTTGGCAGCTCAAGATTTAGGAGAGTTACTAAAAAGACAAGACTTATTGAGAACGACAAAACATTTGAAATGGTGGAGGACCATGATTTCTCACCCCCTGAACGAAGGACATATAAAGAAGAAGAAATGAGTAGTACCCTTTTGTCATTCGGTAATCTTCTATTTCTTTCTTTCTACACCGTGTTCC